CGGTGGACAGCTCCCTCGGCACCTTTCTCGTTGCGTTGAGCCGTGACGGGGAGCTCATCATCACAGGGCCCGTCCTCGACACCTCCCCCTCCCCGGTGCTCCAATCGACTCTCGACTTCTGGGTGATGCCAACGGTTAACTCTGACGATGGCAACTTCAACACTGACCAGGAAAACTTTGGAGCAGCCTTCGAGTACTCATCTTCTGGATCCCTCTACTTTGCGGCCAACGGAGGCGAGATCTACAAAATCCCAATACAGGAAGTGACGGACCTAATCGAGTCGACAGATCTCGTCGAGGGTGGCCAGACGAAGAGTTTCGTCGATTTGTCATGTCGCAATGTGCACGGGACGCCAAAGAACAGCCAGACTTCTTGCGTGGGCGATGTGGTGGGGGAGGTGAAAATTTTAGGACCCGAGATGGACTCCGGCGTTTCCACGGGCTTCAACGACGGCTTCAACTGCCCGGTGGCCACCGATGCCATTGACGCCTCCTCGCCACCAGTGCTACCGCCCTCGCCTCCGCCGCCATCTCCGCCGGCGCCCTCTCTGCCGCCTCCTTCGCCGCCGCCGCCGTCTCCATCTCCGCCGCCGCCCAGCCCGCCGCCCAGCCCGCCGCCCAGCCCGCCGCCCAGCCCGCCGCCCAGCCCGCCACCGCCGTCACCGCCGCCGCCCAGCCAACCGCCGCAGTCATCTCCGCCGCCGCCACCCTCGCCCCCGCCTCCATCTCCGCCGCCGCCCAGCCCGCCGCCCAGCCCGCCGCCGCCGTCACCGCCACCGCCCAGCCCGCCGCCTCCTTCGCCGCCGCCGCCAAGCCCGCCGCCACCGTCGCCTCCTCCACCCTCGCCCCCGCCCCCATCTCTGCCGCCGCCCAGCCCGCCGCCGCCGTCACCGCCGTCACCGCCACCGCCCACCCCGCCGCCTCCTTCGCCGCCGCCGCCATCTCCGCCGCCACCGTCGCCTCCTCCACCCTAGGGCGGGGAGGCGCGACCGGGTCTCTGACACACTGGATTTTTTTGAGCTAGCCTTCGATGTTTGAGCAAGGAAACAAACAAGACGAAGGTGGACACACACATGACGCCACAGCACACGCACCCCGCACCCCGCGCACGCGCAACGCCCATCGCCCCGCCTAGGTGGGAAAGAGATGGAACAGCCTGAGGAAGGTGGCAGGCACGCCAGCCAACAATGAAACATCGCGCCGCTAATCCTCAATGGCGGTATCCTGGCTGCGCGATGCGCCCGCGGCGCAGCCGCTTGCGCTGTACCTTGTCTCCGCCTTCGGCTCTGGCGTCTGCATCGGTGCCACTGGCATCGGAGGCGTGCTGCTCGTGCCGCTCCTCCTCCTCATGGGAGTCCCGATCGGCGTTGCGAGCCCGGCCGTCATCGCCTCGCTTCTTCCGGCCGGAGTCGTTGCGCTCATCGCTAACCGCAGGATAGTGCCGCGGATCGAGACGGCGACGGCTGGGCTCTCCGCGGTACCGGGCGCGGTAGCCGGCAGCTTGCTCTTCCCGCTGGTGCCTGCCGCCCTCATCTCCAGCTTCGTCGTGCTGCTTGCGGTCCTCAGCGGCGTGCATGCAATCTGCACCGTCTTCAGGGCCGGCCGCGGCGGACGGACTGACGACAGCGGCAGCAGCCGAGACGATCAGCCCAGCCGGTGCGACACCGAGCTCGCCACCGCCGCAGCCGACGGAGCCCGCAAGGGCGGCGGCGCCGCCGCCGCGCATCCCTCGGCGGCTGCCGGCGCGTTCGTGCTGTCGAAGCGGGTCGCCGTGGCCCTCGGCCTCGTGGTGGGGCGCGCTCAATAGACGCGAGATGCATGTTCCGCTGTATGCCAGCCGTGCCAACTGTATCCACAGCTGTGATGCCCGCGAGGCTCGGGAGTGCGATGCACGGCGATAGACGGATCTGGACCCCACACTCGGCCGTGTGCATATCTAGGCTCCTGTCCATCCTGACTTGCACCGGCGGACCGTTTGTCGCGATCCCGCTCCTCTTCCGTCTCGACCCGCGCCTGCCCCCCGCCCTCGTCGTCGCGCTGGCGCAGTCGCTCTGCATCCCCATCTCGCTGTGCTCGGTGGCGGTGTCGGCCGTCGGTGGTAGCGTCGACCTCGGCCTCGCGGCCGCCATCGGGGCGGCGGTGGCGAGCGGCGTCCCGCTGGGCGTACGGGTGGCGCAGCGCGCGCCTCCCGGCCGGCTGAAGGGTGCGATCGGGCTGCTGCTGTTGGCCATCGGCATCTCGGCGTTGGTCAAACTGGTCGCGGAGGCTGCCGGCGGCGGGTCGGCTGGTGAGGCTGGGCGCGGGGATGGCTAGTCGACGCTGCATCGGTGGTGTAGATAGGATAGAGAGGAGAGGTGGAAACGCAAAGTCTAGGGACCCACTGCTGGTTTCCTTCACTTGGGGGTTGCCGGAAACTCTGCAGGCCAAGTGGCGTGGGTGGTGCTGCCTCCTGCCAGTTCAACCAACCGGACTGGCGGTTGCGGCCCGCCAAGAAGCCAATTCTGGAGACTTGTCCCTCGGCGGGCGGCCTTCTCTCGAGGTCTCTCGAGATACACAAAGGTTAGGTTAGGTTACACAAGAACACACAGGGCGAGACGGATAAAGCCGTATCGAGGGGTCCAGTACCATGCGGAATCGACCCTATCCAGTGCTCGGCCAGCAAGAACCCGGAAAAAAGAATTTAAGAAAACAACTCTCTCTCACAGCAGACAGGCTCGACGCAGGTGCGGACTGGCGCGTGCTAGCAACTCTATCAACAGGCAAACCACCGGATAGCGCCGTGCACAATGCCGCTCTCCCCGCACGCTAGCTCGTTCACCGTCTGCCACGCCACGGCGGCGTGGAGAACGACAGACAAGCGCTGCATCGGGGGGGGCGTCAGGGAGGACGTGGCCCTGAGTTATGTGTACGCCAACTCAGGGTGTGTGGCTCTGTGGCAGCCAGCTGGCTGTGTGTCTTGTGAGCTTGTTTGTGTCTGTGTGTCGCTCGTGCGTGCCGTCATCATCTGTCCCGCGTCCACCCATACCGCGTTGGTGTCCAGTCCGAGCCTAACTGTTCTTCACCTTGAGCACTTGAGCACTGGATAGGGTCGATTCCGCATGGTACGGGACCCCTCGATCGTCTCGCCCTCCCTCACTGGTGTGTTCATTGGGTCATAACAAACACGGTACAGGATCGAGGTGCACGCTGCCGAAGCAGTGTCGTCCCCCCTCTCCTCGACGGTGATGGCGGTGTGACCGACCGAGCTACAAGAAATCTTCACCTTCCTACATACATACATACATTGCTCATTGGGGACGGAGAGCGCGCGTGCCGTGAGTACAGGGGGAGTTGGCACGCGCGCACCCTAGACTTGTTTTTCACTTCGGCTTTGCTAGACCCAGTTTGAATGAAGAAGATGACGTAAATAAAACGAAGATCATCTCATCTCGTCCCACGTCTTGGGAGCAGCTGTGTGCCGCGCGCGCTGTGGGCTGTGGGTCTGTCGTTCGGTGCGTGTCAGATCTAAGATGGGGGTGCACGCGCCGGCAAACCTGGCGTCGTCGCCTACACAAGCAGGTGCGGAGCGTCAGAGCCGGCCGGGCGGAGTGGCGTAGCGAGAGCACGCCTCATCCTCTCGATGTAGTGTGATTCCCGAGGGTGCAGCAGAGCGTGCTGAACGCAGGTCGCAATTCTTCTCCCGCGAACGGGAAAAGAATTTTACAACAAAACTCCCTCGCACGACATTTGGCTCGGGACTGGCGCCGGAAAAGAATCTGTAGGGACGGGCGAGGGAGGAAGGGCGCTGACCACGGGCGACTACATGCCGAAGGTTCGACGACGACTACTCGTCGCCTGGGTCGTTCGGGGCGCGCGGCTCCGTCGAGGACCGGGCGCGCCCCTTACCCGGCGCGGCGTAGGTCCCACTCTGACGAAAAGAGGGGAGGCACGGTCGACAGCCCGATCCATCAACTACACTCATCTTCTGGTGCTTAGCCCCGTGCAGCAGCGGTCCGGCAGGCTGCCCCCAAGGCCCCCCGGGCCGCTGCGGGTTTGGGAGTTATGCTTAGGCACAGCTTCGGCGATGGCAGCCCCTCTCTGGGGTGTTGCATAGGCGGGGAGTCTCCCCCGCTGGTCTCCTCCTTCCCATTTTTTCTTTTCTTTTGAGAGCAGGACGCCGGGTTTGTCTTGTATGTGCGTGTCGGGCCGGGGTGTGAGCGAGGGGCAGAAGGGGCGGGGGCGTGCGGGGCAGAGGCCCAACGTCGGGCGGCTTGTCGGGGTCCGGAGAATTCGAGGGGGGAACGAGGAGGGGGGAATGGGCGGTCGGCGTCGGGGTAGAAGCGACAGGGCGTACGGGGCAGCCGTCACTCTCCTGCCTCAAAAGGGCGGGGCTGTCCCGGAAAGTGAGAAACGCCGGGCAGCGTGACGCATCAACGAAACCTCCCATACGTGTTTGGGCTCCTCCTTCGCTGTCCCTTCTCCTCATCTCTTTCCCGCCTGGGCGGGGCAGTGGCGGGCGCGCGGTGCGGCGTGGCGTGTGCGTGTGTGCGACTGCAACGAAGGACCGCTCGCAAGGGACCATTGGGTTTGTACTATTAACAACGAAGGCGCTCTCAAAAAGAATTCTTAAAATACGCCTCTTTCAAAAAGAATTCTGCGGTCGGGAAGGTGAGTGGGTTGGGAGCGAGGGGGCGGAAGTGTTCAGTGCGGTAGATGGCGAGCTCGGGGCGCGTGAGCCGGACCTGTGAGCCGGACCACCTCCTCTTGTTCCCTGCGTTGTTGAGCCAGGACTCAACATACTCGGGCTTGCAATCCCAAACTGTCACTCCCCTTTCTCCCGGCCGAGGTGGGGCGCGCGCGGGGGCGGCGGGTGTGCGGCGGGTGTGCGGGATGTCTGTGGGCCCGAGAGCGATATGCCATGTCCGCCTTGCGTTTGTTTCATAACATCGAAGGCGAAGCTCCAACGAATTCTTAAAACACGCCTCTCTCAAAAGAAACTGCCGCGACCGAGCTCCGACGAGCGCGACGCAGCAGCCACCACGTGAGCTCGATGCTCGATGATCGCACTGGTTGCTGGCCTCTCGCACTCCCTGCTGGTGGGCGGCCCTCCTACGCGGACAGGCGGCGCGCGCTGCGCCAGCAGCCCGTGCATGGCCGAGTCGCCTAGGAAGCTCCGTGTCGGCCTCGTCGGTGGCGGCACTGTCGGCGGCGGCATCGTCACCATCCTCGAGGGCGCGCGCGAGCTGCAGGCGTCGCTTGGGGTGGACGTGGAGATCGCGACGATCTGCGTGCGCGACAAGGCGAAGCCACGCGACTTCCCGCTCCCTGCCGGCTGCGCTGTCGTCGACGACGTGGAGGAGATCCTCGGCGACGGCAGCATCGATCTCGTGTGCGAGGTGATGGGAGGCACGACGCTGGCCAAGGAGGTGGTGATGCGCTCGATCGCGGACGGCAAGCACGTGGTGACGGCCAACAAGGCGCTCATCGCGGCGGCGCTGCCCGAGCTTCAGGAGAAGCTCGCCGAGGCCAACGCAAAGCAGGTGCTCGGCTCCGAGGGCAAGTTCGGGTTTGAGGCGGCGGTGTGCGGCGGTGCGCGGGTCTTGCAGGTGCGCTGGCGCCGTCTGCGCAGCATGCGTCCAGCGGTCGGTCGGCGTGCGCCGTAGGCATCCCAATCATCCACGCGCTGCAGCGAGACTTTTTGGGCGACGAGGTGTCGCAGCTGTCTGGCGTCGTCAACGGCCGCACACTTCCGTCCGTCTCTGGGCAGCCCTCTGGGCAGCCGCCTCGGGGCCTTTTCGTAGGCATCATCAACGGCTGCACCAACTTCATCCTCTCCAACATGGCGCAGGGAGGCCTCTCCTACTCGGACGCGCTCAAGGAGGCGTCGGCGCTCGGATACGCAGAGGCCGCGCCGCGCCGCCGCCGCCTCGCCACACGCCACCCCCCTCGCCACACCTCCCCTCCCCACGCCGCCTCGCCTCGCCTCCTCGTGCCGCTTCCTCGCCCCGCTTCCTCCTCGCCACACCTCCCCTCCCCACGCCGCCTCGCGTCGCTCGCTCGCAACACTTCGCCACGCCCATCACGCCTCGCCACGCCTGCTCGCCTCGGCCCGTGCTACCGGCCCGGGGCGCCTCGCCATTATGTGCTCATCACAGTAGCCCGAGGACGAAGGGGGGGGGGGGGGGGGGTCACCCGGGACTCACCCCGGCCAGGCCGTCCCCGCCCCCTCCCTCACCTGCCCCACCCCGGGCCCCGGGGGCAGGCGGACCCGACGCTCGACGTCGGAGGCTTCGACGCGCGCTCGAAGCTCAAGATCCTCATCAAGCTCGCCTTCGGGACAGACGTCGGCGAGAGGGTGGGAGGGCGTGCCGCCGCATCGGACGGGCATCTCGGCTGCATCTTGGCGGGTGGAATTCTCAGGCGAGGACGAGATCCCGTGCCGCGGCATCACCGAGGTGCGAGATGAGCCGAGATCAGCCGAGATCAGCCGAGATCACCCGAGATCACCCGGGGACTTAGCCCCGTGCCGCGGCCTCACCGAGGCGGCCGCCACTTCCTTTGAGGCACCACCACTCAGACCACGCAGACGACATCAACACGTCCTCACCACAGGTGACCGCCACCGACTTTGAGTACGCCGCGCTGCAGGGCGGAGCCGCGCCCGACCTGCCCGGGACTTGCCCCTCTCGGGCGGCGTGCGAGGCCGCCCCCGTGACACCGCCCCCCCTCCCTCTTCCCTCTGCCCCTCAGGCGGAACCGTCAAGCTGCTCGGCGTCGCCAAGCGCGACGGAGGCGACCCCCGCGCCGCTCCTCCCCTCCCCTCGCTCACGCCTCCTCCTCTTGTCTTCAGGCGCGACGGAGACCGGCTCTCCGCCTTTGTCTCGCCCTGCTTCGTCCCGACCTCCAACACGCTCGCCTCCATCAGCGGCGCGACCAACGCGGTGCAGATCGGCTCCGCCAACCTCGGCAGCACCGTCCTGGTGGGGCAGGGCGCCGGCCGGCTGCCGACGGCCAACTCTTGCGTGTCAGACATCCTCGACATCGCGCAGGGGACGAGCGCAGCCCCCTTCCCCAAGCAGCCCCTCACGCCCGCCCTCAAGTTTGGCAACTCGTACACCTCCTCCTTCTACGTGCGCATCCGCTTCCGCGAGCAGCTCGGCGCGTGCTTCTCTTCTTGCCCCTCCTCTCCTCCTCCTCCTCCTCCCTCCTCCTCCCTCCTCCTCCTCGCCCCCCCGGCGGCGCCTCGTCTCGTGAGGCGTGCCGCCCGCTCCTCCCCCTCCAGGCATCATCCAGTCGGTGGGCGAGATCTTCTCCGACGCGGGCGTCTCCATCTACAACCTGCTGCAGACGCCCATCAAGAACCCGAACGACTCGATGTTCGTCATCACCACCGACCCCGTCGACGTCGCAAAGATCAAGCGCGCGTGCGTCGCCCTCGAGGCGACCGACTGGTGCCTCGGCGACACCTTCTATATGCCCGTCGTCGAGTGACGAGGCTGGGGCGTCCCGCCCACCTCGCAGACGGACAGGCGATGACACCCACATTTCTCGCACTAAGATGTGAGTCTAGGACCGCACTGCGATCTGCGTACACACGTGGCCGTATGTTAAAGTGAACGCGCCGCGCCGACCGCCAGGCGGGTCTCTTGCTTTAAGAGCCAGCTTAGAGAGCTTAGAAGCTCACCGCACGGCGCTCACAGCACACAGCTCACAGGGTCACACACCCTCTCTGCTCTCTCTCTCGGCGGCAAATCGGCCCGCGGGGGCGCCCGCGCCGGCGCGCGCGGTGTGCGTCCAGCTGTGGTTGTGTGCGGTGTGCAGAGCCGAGCGATGAGCGTGCACACGAGATCGGCCATCGGCGCGAACAGACCGTGGTACGGGCCTACGGCGTGTGCACGTACTCTACGTCTGGCGCGCGCGCGCCGGCTAAACGCTAAAGCTTAAACCCCATCAATGTTCCTTAAAGCCGTACACTGAAAAATCGCACGTCTTGCGTCTCGAGAGATGTCGAGTCTTTAGGAGGTGGGACATCACGCGGTCTCACTTTTACTTCCGGCCCGCGGCCGCCTTTGGCCTCCAGCCATCGCAGTAAGCACGGAGTTTCTCGAGGTAGCCTGCACGCTGCGCATCCGTCAGCTTCCAGCACGCCTCGATCGAGCGCTTGGCCAAGAGTACGCACTCGTCGGGGGTGAGGCCTAATCACACCACTGCGCCGCAATCACATCACGCACGACGGCGGTGGAGCCAATCGGGCACCCGAGTGCCGCTGTCGCGGGCGGCCCGCATGTACGCCGAGTTGACGTAGCCGTCGTAGGTCTGCGGCTCGCACGCGTAGCAGCGCTCATCCACCGTGCCGATGGCGCAGTAGGCTGGGTCGTCGCTGTGCAAGCCTGCTCACAGCTGGACGATTCCCGCGCATGACTCTCAGCGCGGCGCGACGCGGGGGCGTCGAAGCAGGCCGGCAACGTTGACACCGGCCTCGAGCATCGCACGGACGGGGCTCTCGCCGCAAAAGATTCGCGGCACCTACGGGACGGGTCCGAGGGGGCTTGGGGAAGGGGCCGCGGGCGAAACCGCGCACCAGGAGGTCCTCCCCACAATCTGAGCGCGGTGGTTGGAGATCGGGCAGACGGTGCAGGGCGTGTTCCGGTCCTTGAGCTTGCGCACGACGGCCGCGTCCTGTCCACGGAGCAACTGTGAGAGACGATGCTCGCACTTCTCGGCGCATGGCGGCGATCGAGTCCTCGAGGCAGCGCACGCCGTGGTCAATGCGGTCGCACTTGAGCACGTCGAGGCACATCTCGACGCACGCGGCGCCCTCCTCCTCGCCGGCGTGCGCCGACAGCATCAGCCCCGCCGCCTTCGCCTTCTCATACGCCGGCTTGAAGCGAGAAGTGGAGCCGTGCCCCCACGGGCCCGTCCCATTGTCCATGCCGACGCCGACGATCTTGCCGACGTTGCCCGGCTTGAGCGCCTCGTCTAGCACCGCCATCGCCTCCTCGAGCGAGCGGTCCTGCAGGAAGGAGAGGATGAGGGCGCCGTCGACGCCGAAGCGCGCGCGCCCCTCCTCGATGCCGCGCCACAGGCCCGCGATCACCGCCGCGTATGGCATGCGCGGCCCTCCGACCCCACAGGGCATGCGCGGCGGGCCGCCCATCGCCTCGGCCGCAGCCGCGCCGGCGCCGGACGAATCCTCGAAGCAGTGCATCTGCGGGTCGAAGAAGATCTCGGCGCGGACAACGCCATTCTCCGCCGCGCGTTCGAGGTAGCCGAGCATCAGCTCGTAGAAGTCCTGCTCGGTGCGCATGATCGCGTTGCAGCGCGTGTATTCGGTGAGAAAGGCATTGATAGCCATCTCGTTCGGGCCGCAGAACAGCATCGGCTGGTAGTCGCCGTGGAGCCACGAGCCGCACTGGCGCCGCCGCGTCGCCTCCGCCGGATCAAAGGCCGTGGCGTCGAGGCCGTTCCGCACGGCGATGGAGTGGCAGAGCTGAGGCGTCAGGCAGCCCTCAATGTGGACGTGCAGCTCCGCCTTGGGAAGCTTTGCGAGGAACTCGGGGAGGTTGGCGGCCGCCGCGAGGGCGCTGCTACGGTCGAGGTATCCGCTCTTCACCTGACACAGCAAGTGAGATCGTCGATAGAGCGCAGGACTGGTTGATGCTGCTACTATCCAGCGGCGCCTCACCCGCCTCGCGTCCGGCATCGCCGCGTCCTTGGTGGTGAAATCGATGTCCGCGTCCCAGGCGAGCGATCATCGCCTCGTCGTTGGTGATCGCACAAGCCCCCGATTTGGGGTCGAAAGCTTCCATTGACCCTTGCGCTGCAGCAGCCGGGGCAGTGCGGGCGGAGGAGTGGACGGCGGGGCGGAGCTGGAGGGCGGGGCCGCCACTTTCTGCAGGATGGCGGGGCGGAGCTGGAGGGCGGGGCCGCCACTTTCTGCACCCCCTGCCGCCGTTTTTTTACTTCTAAAGAAAGAAATCGCGATGACGCGGGGTGCCGGCGTTTTATTGCTCTCGCAGGGTGCCTGTTTTTCGTTTGCTAGCAGATACGTGCCTGCGTTTGGGTGTGCTCCCCAATCTTTGGGTCACTCTCGAGGCACTGACGCCGCGCGCGAACGGCCGAACTCCGCCACGAGCACCACGCTAACCCCCCCCCCTTCCCCAGTTGATTGACGGCCGCTCAAGCGTCGGCCGTCTCGGCCGGGCCCTCCACGCCCGCGATGATGCCGCGCTCGTATGCGTTGAGCGACTGGCGCTTGAGGAAGCGCCGGATGATGGAGCACTTGGAGTGCAGTTATCAACCTCACTCACATCCAGGGCCGCCGGGGAGCTAAGAAGCGCACCCAGCGGGCCGGATGATCGGGATCGGGCTACGGGCTAGAGAGCCCTAGCCCCGGGGGTGCGCGTTCGCAGGGAAAGGGCCATAAAAAAAACACGGGTCTCCGAGGGTTCACAGCCTTGTTATTGAGAAGAAAATACCTCCTATCACCTATGGCGCTGTGCGCTGGCCTGTGAGAGGTTGAGGTGCGAGCCCTGGAGGCCCTGGGGATGGGGGGGGACTACCCGCGGGCTTAGAAGGCCCGCGCGCAGGGGGGTGGGGCATTGAGACCGGTCATGAATGAGTGCGCGACACGCATGTTGCGAGCAGCGTTGTTGATGTTCTGCGCGTCGCCACAGACGGCGGCGCGTGAGAGCTGTTGCGAGTGGTGCTGGGCGAAGCCCCGGGCGCTGCACCTGCAGGAGGCTGTGCCGTAGTGTCACAGCCTTGTTATTGAGAAGAAAATACCTCCTATGGCGCTTCACACCGCGTTTCTCGGGCGTTTCTCGAACCGGCCCCCGCTCGACAGCCCTGGTCGAGGCTCGCCAGGTGCCTCCGTGCTTTCGCCCCGCCGGTGCCGACGGGCTCAGCGTTAGGATCCGGGCCCGTAGCAGCTTGGGACGGCCGTATGGCGAGCCCTCGCTGCGTTGGGACTACAGCACCGCTGACTTCCTTTGAGGTGCTCAAAGCCTCGGCGGTCGATGACCACATAGACTTCACCGGCAAGGACGCCCATTGGCCCGATGCACGTGCACGCAAGAGCGGCCTCTTGGACCGCGCTTCTGCACTGGCTGCGATGCAGAACCTGCCACAGTTTCTTCAGAAGCTGCCAAAGGCCGAGCTGCACGTCCACGTCGAGGGAACTCTCACCGCCGAGCGCGCCCACGACATTGCCGTGCGCAACAGGCTGCCAAACGCGGCCGCATTCGACCCAGCCAAGGCAGCGGCGGCGAGGGCCGGCTACGTGGAGGGAGCGGACGTTCAGGTGTACTGTGAGGGAGAGAATGCGCTGAATGCCTTCTTGACGGAGTACAATCGCTGCTCCGCCTGCTACCGCACCGAGCAGGCGCAGAGACACCTCCGACATACCTCCAACACGAAGCGCCGTGACAGATGTGAATCCTCGGCAGGACTTCTATGACGTGATGACCGACTACCTCCGTCGAGCGGCTGCCGACGGCGTCGTCCGCGCCGAGATCTTCTTCGACCCGCAGACGCACTGCTTCGGTGACGTCTCGGGCAGCGCTGCCGACCCGGCAACCGAGATGCAGAGATGCAGCTGAGATGCAGCATGGCACGTCAGAGATGCAGCAGAGGTACGGCAGAGATGTAGCCGAGACATGATGCCGCGCGGCGGCGCGAGTCCGTGGGGCCCGCCGCCTAGAAGCTTCCCTCAACCTTCCCTGAAACTTCGCACAGGCGGCGCGAGACCCGACCGGCGTGGGCCCCGCCAAGCTGCCGTACGGCACGGTCCTCAGTGGCTTGTGGCGCGCGGCGGAGGACGGCCGCGAGGCACTCGTCGTGTGGTTGGCTGTTGTGGGATCGGGTTTCGGGGTGACGGTTGCCTTATGATTTTAGGCGTTCGGCGTCGAATCTGCCCTCATCCTCTCCTTCCTGCAGGACCGCTCGCTCGAGGAGGCGATGGCGGTGCTAGACGAGGCGCTCAAGCCGGGCAACGTCAGCAAGATCGTCGGCGTCGGGCAGGACAACGGGACGGGGCGCGCGGGCACACAGAGCGCGGCGGCGGCCCGACTGCGTCCTACCTCCATCACCACCTCCATCACCACCGTAGTAACCGCCGCCAATGCCACCGCCCTGGCCGCCATCGCCTCCGTGGCCGCCGTCGCCGCCGCCCTCCTCGCTGAATGCCCCGCGCGCCACCGCAGGCCGTTTGGCCCTGGCTCGACCTCGCGCTTCCTGCCCGCGTACCGCCGGGCAAAAGAGGCGGGGCTGCGGCTGGTGAGACAACCCCGAGAGCACCTGAGATTGCCACCAAGGGGCGGGCTGAAGAGAGCGGGCCTGTGGACGGCGGTTCTTCACGGCAGCGTGTCTTCACGGCAGGGTGCATGAGCAGGTCTGCCACGCCGGCGAGGAGGAGGGCGCGGCGAACGTGGCGATGGCGCTGGACACGCTGCAGGCTGGGGAGGGCCGCGTGCGGCGGCCATGCTGCGGGACGGCGTCTCACACAACGGCGGATGGCGCGTGGGTAGGTCGAGAGGGTCGACCACGGGGTTCGCTCCCTCGAGGACGCGTCCGTCGTCGCGCGGCTCGCCAGGCAGGGCACGCCGCTCACCGTCTGCCCGCTCTCCAACCTCCGCATGCAGATCCAGGCGCACACCCACCGCTGACGCCGCGGCGAGAGGCGCGTGGGGGCGATTCTTGAGCTTTTGACCGCAAAGGCGCGCTTCTTCTGCGGCGCGTGTCCGGTGCGTCCGCTGCTCGAGGCGGGCGTCAAGGCGAGACACACCCAAGAGACACACCCGAGACCCGAGGCGGGCGACCAGGCGCATTGTGACAGCCGCCAACGCAGCCGCACCCGTGCTCCAGACGGCCACTGCAGTCTGTCGCCCGGTCGTCTCGGCCGTTCGCTCATGGCGGGCGCTGACGGCCCTCAACCGGCAGCTGCATCGCCTCGCCTTCAGGTGACGCTCAACTCGGATGATCCGGCGTACTTCTCGTTGGGCAGGGTCGACGCGGCGTCCCGAGCGCTCGATGAGGCCACATACGACGGTTTCGTTGCGTCCAACTACCTGTATGCGGCGCGCGATTGCGGCCTCACCGCCGACGAGTGCGTGATCCTCGCGCGCAACTCGCTCGAGGCGTGCTTTGTGGACGGCGCGACCAAGGCGCGCTATGTGGAGCGGCTGAGGGCGTACTGCGATGGGTGGCGCCCCGCCCCGCGTGACGAACCATTCAGAGAGGCCATCTAGGGCCCCCTGAGTAGGCGAAAATCGTCACAGGTAAAATTAACTTCTTTTTATCTTTAGTGCAGTGCGCGAGATAGTCGATAGTCCCCCACAGTGTTGGGCTTAAGAATTCTTCCTCTCGTCTAGTGTTGTGTCGGTGGCGAAGCCGCCAATGGATCCCTTCAGGATGGAGTCGTTGTCGACGCCCGAGGAGGAAGAAAGAGTCGGAGAGCGAGACGCGCGCCGCGTAGACGCTGTACGCGCCGTTGTCGTATGGCACGTAGTAGGCGTGTGTGTCGGTGGCGAAGCCGCCAATGGATCCCGTGAGGTTGACCTGAGGTATCTAGTTCGTGCCATCTGCTGTGAGAGGGACTTGTGCTCGTAGAATTCTTCCTCTCGTCTCTGTGTGCACGCCCGCCGACGGCCCGCGCCAAAAAATAACTGGGCGCAGTGCATGCCCCCTATCTGGGTCTCAGCTCCCGATATCATGACGACGGAGGAGCTCCCAGAAGTCGTAGGCTCGAAAGCTCAGGTGCTCGCTGTCTGCCTGCTGCAGGAGCACCTTGCTCGCTGGCGGGCCAGGCGTCAACCGCTGCCACCGTCACCACGAAATCGACTCACGCCTCATCCCCCTCCTCAGCCATGTCCGCCGCCACCGCCGCCCCCGCCGCGGGCAAACGGGGAGGCGAGCGAGGCGAGCGAGGCTCAGACATGGCTGCGCAAAGCCGCGATTGCCACCCCGCGCGATGAGAGCAAGCTGGGCAGCAAGTTGGGCAGCAAGCTGAGCACGATATCCAAGCTGAGCAAGACTGAGGCGCGCGCCACTGCGGCAGAGGCGGAGGCGGCGGCGGCGGCGGCGGCCGTGGAGGCGGCCGAGATGCGCGCGTTGGCGGCCGAGGCAGCGGCGGCCGAGGCGGCGAGAAGAGCGACGGCGGCAGAGTTGGAGGGCGCAGAGCTTCGCGCAGACCACGAGGAGATCCTGGCCATGGCGAAGAGCGCTGCCGTCGCCCAGATGGTCCACGAGAGCGCGGCGACGTCCGCCGATGCGAGCATTGAGCTGCGCCAAGAGCTGCGCACGGCCGAGGCGGCGGTGGCGGCACTCGAGGAGCAGCTCAAGGCGGCGGCCGATGCGAGAGCGAGGAGCGAGCTGGAGGGTGCACAGCTTCGCGCAGACCACGAGGCAATCCTGGCGGCGGCGGTGTCGGAGGCGGTGGAGGCGGCGCGTGCGGAGGCGGAGTCTGCGGCAGCAGAGGCGGAGGCGGCGGCAGAGACTCGACAGGCGGCGGCGGTGCACGAGGCCGTGGCGGAGGCGGTGGAGGCGGCCATGTCGGAGGCGGTGGAGGTCGCGCGGATAGAGTCGGCGACAGTGGCACAGGCTGAGATGATCGGCTGCCATGAGGACCAAGCGGCGGCGGTGGCGGCGGCGGTGGCGGTAGCGGTGGCGGAGGCGGTGGAGGCGGCGCGGGCGGAGGCCGCTGCGGCTGCTGCAGAAGCGGCAGTGGCGGCCGAGGCGCGAGCAGCGGCAGCGGTGGAGGCGGCAGCGGCGGCGGGGCGGGCCGAGGCGTTGTCGGCAGCACAGGACGGGGCGGCGACACGCGAGGAGAGCGAAGCGGCGGTCGCTGAGGCGGTGGCGGAGGCGGTGGAGGGCGCGCGGGCGGAGGCGGCGGCGGCGGCGGCAGCGGCGGCGGCGGAGGCGGAGGCGGCTGCGGCAGAGGCGAAGGCGGCTGCCGAGGTGCGAACGGCGGCGGCGGTGGAGGCGGCAGCGGCGGCGGCGTCGCAGGAGGCGGCGGCATTGGCGCGTGAAGCGGCGGAGGCGCGGGCAGAGGCGTCCGAGGCGGCCTCAAAGGCTGCGGCGTTGGAGGCGGAGCTCGAGAAGAGCGGGAGGGCGGCGGCGGGGGCGAGGGAGGCGGCTGAGGTGGCCGGGCGTTCGCTCGCCGCGGCCGAGGCCAAGGCGGCGGCGAGCAGCGCCGAGCTCGATGCGGTGGTGGCGGAGGCACTGGCTGCGCGCAAGGCGGCGGCCGAGGCGGCAGGAGGGGCGGCGGCGGCGCTGGAGGCGGAGCGGTCTCGCGCCGACACGGCGGCCGAGGCAGCGGCCGCGGCGCAGGCAGAGGTGGTTGCGCTGCGAGCGGAGCTTGCGGCGGTCTCGCAGCGCGCGACCGAGGAGGTTGCGGTCGCGCAGGCGAAGCAGGCCGAAGGTCGAGATGCGTCGGCAGCGTCTCTTCACACGTCTGGCTGCGGACAGGCGGACACGCAGGCGCCGCGGTGTGGGCTGGTGCGGGAGGAGTCGGCAGCGGCCATGGCCAAGCTGAAAGCGGAGCTCGAGAGCAGCCGCGCTGTCGTCGGGAAGAGCCAGGCCGCGGCGCACGAAGCCCATAGCGCGCTGTCGGCAGCAAAGCGAGAGCTGGCGGCGTCGAGGGCGGAGGTTCTGAGGCTGAAGAAGGGGGCGACTGGAGGAGCGAGCAGGGGAGACCAGGGCGCTGGAGCCCCCGCGGAGTCCGAGCCAGCCGACGGCCAGCGTCGGCCCTCCTCTCAGCTGGCAGGCAGCCGTGCGAGCTCGCCCGGTGGCCGCGGCTGCAGCGGCAGCAGCGGCAGCAGCGGCAGCAGCGGCAGCAGCGGCTGGCCGAGCAGATCTCCAACCGCCGCCGTGGCGACGGACAAGACACAGAAGCTGTTCAAGGCGGTGATTGCGGAGGACCTCGGCCAGATTGAGCGGCTGCTGCAGCAGGGCGCGTCCCTCGAGGAGAGGAACCTCGCCGGGTTGAATGCGCACGACCTTGCTAAGGAGCGGAATAAGCGCCGCGTGCTCGCGTGGCTGCGGTCCCGCGCGCCGCCTGCAAGTTAGCTAATGCAGGCGCACAACGTTCACTTTTGTTCACACCTCTTTACGTTCGGACCAGTTTGCCACAGTGGTCGTGAGGGTACCGTACGTATGCTTAGCGCCGGAACTTGGTCTTTCCGCGCGAGGGCGGAGGGGCGAGGCGCGAGGGCGAGCGGGCGCCGCCGGCGCCGCCGCAGGGCACTTTCATCTTTCGTCGCACATGCACACGATGTCCACTGTCCACACAGGGCAGCGCCTCTTGGCGGTGCTACGCGGCAGTCGGCTTGTGCTCACTTCTTCGCCGCCTCGATCGCTGCCACCTTGGCGGCAAGCTCTTTGTCCTATAGCGCAGTCCAGGACGATATTGATCTCTCGGCCATGTTGGGGGGGGCGAGCATTGAGGCCCACAGCAAGAGCCGCGCCTTGATGGCCCAGCGCACGGAGAGCAAGTAGCTGCGGCAGCACATGCGAGGATTGCTTGGGTCAGATACGTGTGCGGCGAAGGAGGCTTGTGCTATTCGTAAGGACTGGCTCACTTGACGCTGAGGACAGCCACCAACCACGTGATTGGTGGGTTCTTAATGGAGAACTTCGGGATTGGCTCCTCGGCCGCCTTGGTACACATGCCACGACCTGCCAGCCGGACCGAACCTCGCGCTAGCATGGCGGGTGCGACGGCGGGCCCAGCCAGGCTGCCGCTGAGGGACGGCCGACCTGGTTCAGCTGGGCCATCAGGGCGGCCGCCAGCGGCCGAGGGGAGACTACCCGCGGGCCTAGAAGGCCCACGCGCAGGGAGGGGGGCCGGGATGTGAGGCCCTAGGTTAGAAGCCGGTTAAGCGACTCGATCATCAACATCGCCGCCATCGCATCGCATCGAGATCGCACACTCTAAAAAAAAGATAAAAGTGCTGGGTGGGTGGGTGTGCCCATGCACTGGCGCTCTCCTCAACTTCTCGGGACTCTCAATGGACCAGCTTACCCATCGTTCGCTGCGCACACACTAGTAAACAACTTCTCGGGACTCTCAAATGGACCAGTGCGCTGCACACACTAGTAAACAACTCCTCGGGACTCTCAATGGACCAGCCTATCCATCGCGCGCAGCGCACACACTAGTAAACAACTTCTCGGGACTCAATGGACAGGGCAAACGGGGGCGTAGTAAACACAAGTGTAACAGAGCGGCTACTTGTGCTCGGCCGGCGTCGTCGGTCTCGGTGTGTGCGTGTGTCTCCTCCCTCGCTCTCATCTGGCGCGTGACGCGCGTGTTTTTGAAGGTGTGTGGCGTTTTGTGGACGCGCCGTCATGGCGCCTCGTCCCTCGAGTTGTAGCGAGCGCGCGATCTCCCCCCCGGAGTCTCCTCACAACCAACTCAACTCGGCTGAGACAAACACTCAAACATAATCAACAAAATACTTAACTGTTGGGGCGGTGCGGCGAGCAATGGCTGCCGCCGTGCTTCGGATGGTGTCAGTGACTATTCGTCATCCTCGTCCTCGTCCTCCCCATCCGCGAGCATGCGCGCCATCTCCTGCGCCAGAGCTGCCGCGCGCTCTCGCCGCTCATCGTCGGGGAGGCTGGCTCCGCTGTTGCGGATCTGACCCATTTGCTCAAAGAGCCGCTCGAGCTTTTCGTCGTCCCTCTCCAGCCGGCCAACGGAGGCGGCGGCGCCGCCGCCCTCGCCGCCTCCGTTCGGCTCGCCCTCTCCCACCAGCGCCGCCATGTGCCGCTCCGCCTCCTCGTCGCGCGCCGCCAGCCGCTCGGCGGCGGCGCGGCGGTGCATCTCCTCCTGCGCCGCTGCGGCCACGGCCCGCGCTCCGGAAGCCGCGAGGTCCGCGGGTCCGGAAGCGCTGCCGTTCTGCGGGCGCACCTCGGCGCTGCCGTTGGCCGCCCCGGCCGCCTCCTCTGGCCAGCGGCGGCACTGCACCGCCTCCAGCACCCTGGAGAGGCCGTCAGACTCGTCGCCGCCGCGGCCGCCGGCCGGGGAGGTCGCCCCGCGCGAGGCTGCGGCGAGCGGCGCGAGCTGCTCCATGTCCGCCGAGCCGGCCGCCGAGTCGATCTCGACAATCTCGCCGCCGTGCTCGAGCGCGAACTCGAAGCACGCCTCCGGGTGCGTCGGAGGCGCCTCCCCCGGCGCGCCGCCGCAATCGCCGAGCAGCAGCAGCACAAACTCGGACAGCTCGTCTGCGCTCGGCAGATCACTGCCCCACCGCCCGGTCACGCGCGCCCACCCGCTCTCGCCGGCGGCGGCGGCCGCGGAGCGGTCAAAGAGCAGCAGCACCGCGCCCGCCTCGGCCGCCGCCGCCGCGAGCGGGGCGTGCGTCGCGTCGGTGTCGGGAACGACGAGCAGCGAGAGTGTGGCGCTGTAGTACCGGTTGACGACTCGCCACGCGTAGCAGCGGCCGCCCTCGAGCGGCGACGCGAGGCCGCCTCGCCCGCCGCCGCCCGTCAGTGCGGCGGCGATGCGGTGCGCCGCGCAGCCCATCACGGGAGGGTGGACGAGCAAGACCGCCCTCTCCATCGCCGGGAGCGACTCGCCCGCGGTCGCCCTCCCTCCCTGCTGCGGCGCGACTCTCCCGTGGCGCGTGACCTCGCGGGCGGCAGCCGCGTCCGCCGTGGCGCACAGCAAGCGCAGCAAGCTGCGGGGCCGATCGCGGACGGCGAGGTCGAGCAGCCGGCGCGCCTCCAACGCGTCGCTCGCAGCCTCACGCGCCGCGGCCGAGCCGCCGCCCCCTGCCCCCGAGCCGTTGGCCGCGGCCTCAGTCGCCCGCCCGGCGAGGACCGACCCCAACACCGCGACCGTGCGGGGCCGCCGCGGCACCGAAAGCATCTCGCGCACCGCGTCCGCGTCCGCGTCCGCGTCACCGGCGCTCGACGCGTCACTGGCGCGCGGCGCGGCCGCGGCTGCGGGCGGCGGCAAAGCCGGCTTGGGCGCCGCGCCGGCGGCGAGGGTGGAGAGAAAGGCGAGGTTGGCGGGTCTCGCCGCGCGTCCGAGCAGCGCTCCGAGCTCGGCGGTGTCGTCCGGATCGAGCTGCTCGCCGAGCAGCCGCAGCGACGGGAGCGAGCGCAGCGGCGCCACCTCGGCCGAGACGCCGAGCGGACAGCCGTCGCCCTCGCCCGGCGGCGGAGGCGGTGACGACGGAGGCGACGGAATCGGCGGGGGGGCGGCGGAGGAGGAAGACGGCCGCGGCGGGCGACGGTCAGGGGCGGCGGCGGGCGTGGCGGCGGGTGCGGTGATGGCGCGGCGCGGCACCGCCGGTGAGTCGCGCGGCGAGCGGGCGATCTGGCGCAACACGAACGTCTTGAACTCGCGGCGGGAGACGGCGCCGGAGCGGTCGGCGTCCATCATCCGGAGCAGCTCCTCGGCGGTGGCGAAGGCGGGCCCCACCCCCTGCAGCAGCTTGAGCACCTCGCGCTGCCCCTCGAGCGCGGCGCGCAGCTCGGCGACAGAGAGCTGCTCATCCGAGTCCGTGTCGACCTGCAGGCAAGTTCCGAGAAGGCTTGGGGGAGGGCCCGGGAAGAGGAGAGCTGCCTTTCCACCGCCCGCGTCGACCAGCTCGAAGAAGCGGTCCACCAGATCCGCCTTCGAGTCCGTGTGCGAGAAGCCGCCCGAGCCGACGCAGACCTACAGAGCCCGTGCCGCGCGTCAGCCGCACCGGTCGCCTCACGCCCAGCGGCGGCGGCGGGGCGGAGGGTCGGGCCTCGTCGCCCTTTGAGTCGTAGCGCGTCACCCCGAGCGGCCGGGCCGACCCTCTCTCGCCGACGAGCGCGCTCGCCTCCTCGGGCGAGACGCGGCTGTAGTCGGTCCGGAAGCCAGAGACGGTGCACAGGAGGTAGGCGGGGCCGTCCGGCCCGTCGGGGAGGAGCGCCTTGACGAAGGGGGGGGGTATAGGGGAGAGATAGGGGAGAGACAGGGGAGAGGGGAGAGATAGTCGGGGAGGAGCGCCTTGACGAAGGGGGGAGGCGACGCGCCGTCCGCGTCGTCCGCGTCGTCGGGCGGCGCCGACCTGCGGAAAGAGCACGAGATATGGGGAGATTGGGGAGATATGGGGAGATCTCGCCGACCTGCGGAAAGAGGCCGCCGTGCAGAAGGGGGAAGTGCCACGGGAGTGTCCAGGAAGCTGTCTTGGGAGTGTCTTGGAGTGCCTTTGGAGAGTCCGGACGGGGGTGTCCAGCGCGTGTGTCGCCTGAGAGTGTCTAGGCTCCCCACGCCTGCCCACCAGGTCCCCGCCCCGAACCTTCTCGCGGTCCAAGTGGGCGGCGAGCCCCTCCCAGGCTCGCCCCCGCACGCCCTGCAGGGTGTAGTCGAGGCGGGAGCTGTCCTCGAGCCGGCCGTGCACGCGCGCGGAACCGTCGGGCAAGAGCTGCACCTAGCAGAGGGGCAGGGCCGGAGGGGAGCCGAGGTGCGGCCGAGGTGCGGCCGAGGTGCGGCCGAGGTGCGGCCGAGGTGCGGCCGAGGTGCGGCCGAGGTGGAGCCGAGGTGGAGCCGAGGTGGAGCCGAGGTACAGCCGAGGTGGAGCCGAGGTGGAGCCGAGGTGGAGCCGAGGTGTAGTGCGCGCTGTGCGCACCTCCGAGACGGCTGCGCCGCGGTTGTCCGGCGTGCGCATGTCCGAGTAGGACGTGTCGCACCTGTGGGGGAACACGTCCATGACATGTCGTGGACGTGTCGTGGACGTGTCCGAGCAGGGACGTGTCGCACATCAGGATCTCGAGCGACGGCCCGCCCTCGCTCGCCGCCTCGCTCTTGATGACGGTGGGGCAGTTGCCGTGCGGCGTGTGCCCGACCACGAGCCGGTGGATGCCGCTCGCCGCGAGGGATTGGACGAGGGAGGGCGGAGGCGGCTCGGGCATGCCGCTCTTGAGGAGGTGCCGCCCGAGCACGACCTACGGGGGGAGATGTGGGGAGATGTGCTGGAGATGGGGGGGAGATGTCGGGAGGTGCCGCCCGAGCACGACCGACGGCGGCCCCGACGGGACGCAGTAGTCGAGCAGAGCCGCGCCTGCGGGTCCGGAGGCAGGGGTCCGGAGACAGGGGTCCGGAGACAGGGGTCCGGAGACGGCCCAAGAGCGGGGTCGGGGAAGGCGGATGCGGCAGTCGAGCGGCGGTGGCGGTAGCACACCGCCGCGCGAGCCGGGCACGAGATAAGGGGAGATATGGGGAGATATGGGGAGATATGGGGAGATATGGGGAGATATGGGTAGCACACCGCCGCGCGAGCCGGGCACGGCGCGAGGTACGGCCGAGCTGTCGTCGCTCACCCAGCGGGGGGAGGCTGTCCACTCGCCTAGGAGAAGGTTCCTAGAAGGTTCCTAGAAGGTTCCAGTCTCGCCCAGCAGGGGGAGGCTGTCCACTCGCCTAGGAGAAGGTTCCTAGAAGGTTCCTAGAAGGTTCCAGTCTCGCCCAGCAGGGGGAGGCTGTCCACTCGCCTAGGAGAAGGTTCCTGGAAGGTTCCTAGAAGTTCCAGTCTCGCCCAGCAGGGGGAGGCTGTCCACGCGCCTAGCTGCTGCCGGTACCAGCTGTTGAGCAGCTCCGCCCACTCGACCACCTGCGCCGAGGGGGCGGTGAGGGTGGCGGTGGGGAGGGTGGCGGTGGGGAGGGGGGTGGCGGCGAGGGTGGCGGCGGCGAGGGCGGCGGTGGCGACGGCGGCGGAGGCGAGGGTGGCGGTGGGCTCGGCAGAGGCGGGCTGGGTGGCTTCGGAGGCGAGGGCGGCGGCGGGCTTGGTGGAGGCGGGCTGGGCGGCGGCGGCGAGGGTGGCGGCGGGGAGGGGCGCGAGGTGTGCAAAAGATGCGGCGCCGGCGGGCGGCCGCAGCGCCGGGTGTGTGTGGGAGGGGGATGATGCGCCCGCGAGAGGCTGTGGAGGCTCCTCCGCGCTCGGACTTGGGCAAAGGCGGCGCGCTTGTGTGTTGAACTCCCCGTGTCGGTGGTTTGCCATGCGTGCTGTGCCATGTGCGCATCCTTGGCTGTCCGTCTGGGCGCGCGTGCGAGGGCCAGGCCAGCCGCCGTGTCTCTGTGGCGCGCGAGGCTGAGCTGGCGCGCCGACACGACTCTGCCCTCGCGGCCGGGTACGCGGCCGAGAGCGACGCCGTCGGCGGAGGAGACGCCTGGTAGTCGCCGTGCAGTGTCGGGGCGTGGGGTAGGGTGTCCGGTCCTGTGTTGCTGTGGATGGGAGGGTGGCTACTGAGCTGCTACTAGAGGGCTGTGGAAGGTGTGCCGTTCGAGCATCCGCTTGAGCGTGGACGTGAGGGGTGAGATCTGAGTCGGGCGTGGACGTGAGGGGGGGGCCAGTGTGGAAGGAAGGAAGGTCACTGAGCTGCCACCGGACGGGCGCCTCCATGCACGAGCAGGTTCCCCCCGTGGATGGCGGCCAGCTGCCCCTCGTGCAGCAAGTCGTGCATGAAGCCCCCCGGCCGCACCTAGCCGCGCGTTAGCAACCACTCACCACTCCGCCCTCACAGAAGAAGGCCGTGCATGCGACGCCGCCCGGCCGCGCGCCGAAGACACAAACGACTCGCAGACCGCCTCGTCGCCCACGCGGCCGCCGCCGCCGCCAAGCAGCTGCAGCTCCGCCCGCCGGCGCTCGAACTCGCCGTCAGCGCCCATCGTGTCCTTGAGCATCCACCGAATGCGGTTCGCCAGCGTGTTGCGCTTTAGAACCTCTTCACGCGGCGGCCCTCCGTCACCGCCGCCGCCGCCGCCACTGCCGCCGCCGCCGCCGCCGCCGCCAGACGTCTCGGCCGCGCAGAGGCTGTTGAGAAAGTCGAGCGGCGAGACGCGCTTCGCCTCGGGGACCCAGTACGGCCCCGCCACCCGGTCGAGACGCCCGTCGGCTAGCTGCGCCGCGGTGAGCTCTGACGAGAGCCGCATCTTGTTGATGTCGCGGTTGCCCATGAGCAGGCAGACACGCTGCGGGTACTTGCGCTTGAGCGCGACGAGGCTGCGCGCGACGCGGATTGAGCCGCCGACCAAACCGCCCTTGTCCACCGCGTCGCCGCCAAACACAAAGAGCCAGCCGTCCCGCAGCTCAAGGTCCACGGCGCCGTCAGCGCCGTCGGTCGAGACGAGCGTGAGGGCCTCGGAGAGCTCGACGAAGGCGAGAAAGTACTCGAAGTTGCCCTCGACATCCGTGAGGAAGCAGACGCGGTCCGGGCCGAAGCCGAGCGTGGTTCGGCAGGTTGACAACGTCGTCATCCGAGCCCCTACGCTGTCCAAGGGCACGTCTGGGTGACCCAAGTTACTCCAAGCCCCCCGCCGGGGAGCGCCTCGCACAGCAACTGCGGAAAAGAATTCTTAAAACCCTCACAGAAATTTAAACAAACCTCTCACAGCTGCGGAAAAGAATTTCGCGCGCCGTCGGCCGGCTACATGTGTCTGTGTGTCGCTCGTGCGTGTCGTCATCATCTGTCTAGCGTCCACCCATACCGCGTTGGTGTCCAGTCCGAGCCTGGCTGTTCCTGAGGGAGGGTGTAGAGGATGTAGAGTGTAGAGCGCTGTAGAGCTGTAGAGATGTAGAGTGCTGGAGAGCGCTGTAGAGCTGTAGAGCTCTACATCCGCCGCGTGACGAGGCGCCTGCGTTGTAGAGCGATGTAGAGGCGCTCTACAACGTGAAATCTCTACAACAAACGCTACATCATAAGCGGCGAACGAGGCACGGTCGCTCTCCGACATGAGGCGCGTTGCACTTGCCAGTGCTGCCCTGGCCTTCTGTCTGCCCGCCCAATGGGTGGCAGGTGCCTCTGCTGCTATGGCATGCCTCACGGCTGCGACTGGCCGGCGCCTCGGCGCGTCAGCTCGGCTCGGCGTAGCGATAGTGGCCAGCGCAACTCGCCTGGACTCAACGCTCAGCCAGGAGCTCCCGCACGCGCTGGCGCGAGTCATGGCGCATGCAACGCGTCTGAATGCTCGCCTCGCCTCGCGCAAATGCGACCGTCCTCGCAGCCGACAGTCCACCGCCTGCTAAAGAAGCACAGCGACGAATGCGGCACCGGCGACACATGGCAGGCTGGTCATGACGCAGTTATAGGGTGTTGTGTGCCGTCAGAGGGACTCTCTGTGTGTCAGGGATAGTCAGGGCTGTCCATCAGAGCTTCACTAAGCTCGGAGACACCCCATTAGCGCGGCTCGACCTCTTTGAGTCACTGCCTTCCCGGCGGTTTGGCTGTAGAGCCTCTACAACAAACTCTACAACAAAATCGCGCTCTCAACTTGTCACTCGTCTCTCGGTGACGACGGCGCTGTCGCCTGTCGCTGTCTGTGTGTCTACTGTCTCCCCGCGCGAGCGCGCGGCGTCCGGGTGGAAGGCACGCCGCCATCACACAGGGATCGCCAACCGATCGATGGGCGGCTGTTTCTTTTCCTGTGCGTAGGGTTTGGGCCACCCTTTGCTTTTCGAAATTCTTTTCTCGCGATGTCCACCCCGCCGCGCCGTCGCTCGCGCCGTCTCGCCACCGCCACCACCGCCGCCCCCTCGCCAGACGAGCCGCCGCCCACCCGCCTGCTCGACCTCCCCACGGAGCTCATCTTGCGTGCCCTCTCTCACTGCGACCCCGCCGACATCGCTCGCGTCGCGGCTGTCTCGCTCCTCTTCCACGCCTCGCTCGCGGAGCAGGGCATCCGCTTGTGGGCGCAAGGGCGCGGCTATGAGCTGCCGGCGCAGCCAGAGGACGAGAGCTGCGCCGTGCGGTGGCTGTGCTTCGCTGCTTTGCTGCGCGAGTCCAACCCGCCGGCGAGGGCGGCGGGAGGCTGGTGGCACAGCCACCTCATCGACGCCGAGGGGCGGCTCTCGTCGTGCGGCACGGCAGCGGAGGGGGCGGACGAGGACGAGGAGGCGTTTTCAGGCCGTCTCGGCCACGGCGAGGACGTGCTGCGGCTCAACACGCCGACCCGCCTCCCCTCGACGCTGGGCGGCGAGCGTGCTGTGAGCGTCTCGGCTGGACTTTACCACAGCCTCGCCCTCACCGCCGACGGCGCCCTCTGGAACTAGGGCCGTGGAGACGACGGCCAGCTGGGCCATGGCAACGAGCAGGACTTGTGGCTGCCCAAGAAGGTCGAGGCTTTGGCTGAGAAGAGCGTCGTCGCCGTGTCGACTGGATACTTCCACAGCCTCGTAATCACCGCCGACGGAAGTGTCTGGAGCTGGGGCCATGGAGACGATGGCCAGTTGGGCCACGGCGACCAGCAGAGCCAGTCGCTGCCCGAGAAGGTCGAGGCTTTGGCTGGCCAGCGCGTCGTCGCGGTGTCGGCCGGACTACTCCACAGCCTCGCCATCACCGCCGACGGCAGTGTTTGGAGCTGGGGCAATGGAGGCTTAGGCAAGCTGGGCCACGGCGACTACCAGAACACAATGCTGCCCAAGGAAATCGAGTCCTTTGCTGGCCGGCGCGTGATCGCTGTGTCTGCTGGAACAAACTACAGCCTCGCCCTCACCGCCGATGGTGCCGTCTGGAGCTGGGGCGGTGGAGGCTCTGGCAGGCTGGGCCACGGCGACGGGCAGCACCAGCTGCTGCCCAAGAAGGTTGAGGCCTTGGCCGGGCGGCGCGTCGTCGCCGTGTCGGCTGGGTGCGGCCACAGCGTCGCCATCACCGCCGACGGCAGTGTTTGGAGCTGGGGCTATGGAGTCCGCGGCAAGTTGGGCCACGGCGACTACCAGAACCAGCTGCTGCCCAAGAAGGTCGAGACGTTTGCTGGCCAGCACGTCGTCGCCGTGGCGACTGGTGTCGTGCACTGCCTTGCCATCACCGCCGATGGTGCTGTCTTTGCCTGGGGCGAGGGCGAGTGCGGCTGCCTTGGCCACAGGGAGGACTTGTCGAACCAGCTGCTGCCCAAGAGGGTCGAGGCGTGGGCGTAGTGAGAAGGTCGGGGCTCTGGCGCCGCTGGTGTGCACGAGCGCGAGGCCGACTTGGCTCGCTTCTCGATCCTTTCGATCCGGAGAGGAGCGATTTACTTTTCATTTTTATAAACAAAGGAAGAAGGAAAACGGACAATTCTCTAGGGATTGTGGCCAAAGTGTTGTACACGCTAGGTCTTAATAGTATACAGGTTTCGATCCGAGGAACGACATGCTGTGGCAACGACGAGAGCTGTGCCTCGAAGACGCGCGCGAAGGGGAGAGAGAAACGACCAAACCCACCCCAACCCACCCACCCACCCACCCACCCACCCCACCCACCACCCATCACCCACCCACCCACCCACCCACTCTAGCGAGTCGCCAGCTGCCACTCACCATCCGGGGCCTACGAAGCGTTTACCCACACACCCACTTTTTCAAGAACGGCGGGGTAGAGGCACGTGGTTCGAGAAAAAACGAAACGCTGAGGTGCAGCTCGGTCAGCAACGCGTCGGTTGACCTTGAGGGCCTCCGTAAGAGCGCTGTGATACCGGCGGCCGAGTAGGTACCCCGGCCCATATAATCAAGACCGCATATCTCTCGTTGTAGCCCATGTAGAGATTTTTCAGCACCCCGTTGACGCGCAGAGCGGAGGCCAGCGCCACGGCGCCCGCGTCGTCGATGTCGTTGCGGGAGAGGTCGAGCTCGGTCAGCACCCCCCGTTGACCGCGCGCAGAGCGGAGGCCAGCGCCTTGGCGCCCTCGTCACCAATCTCGTTGTAGCAGACGTCGAGCGATTTCAGCACCGCGCTGAAAAACGTAAAAAGAATCACCGCGAATCGACCGTGCGACTCAAAGTACAAAGAAGACGTACCCCAGACTAATTCATGCACGCCCCCCTGCACCGTCCCGACTCTCAGAATTCACACTCACATCTTGAGCTCGAACCCTACCCGCCCGCTCACCGCATCCCGAATCACTCCCTTCCCTTCGTCGCCCAAATTGTTGTACTCGAGGTTGATGCTTTTCAGCACCCCGCTGACCGAGACATACTCCGCCAGCACCTTGGCGACCTCCGCGTTGATGCCCTGATGTGAGAGGTCCCACGACTCGATCTTGTTCTCCTTGTTGTCTCGCAGCGCCGCGAAGATCGCGCACCAGCCCTCCGTGCCAAGTGAGTTGCCGCGGAGGTCGACGCTTTTCAGCACCTCGCTGCCCTCGACCAGCTTGGCCAGCACAAGGGCCTCTGGCACCCCAAGGCCCTTGCCGCTCAAATCTAGCTTATCGAGCGTGTTTGCGCGCAGCTCCTTCAGCGGCACCAAGCCGAAGATCTCGAGCGATGGGCTGGCAAGCACAGCCGTCGCCAGCTGCTGCGCGGCGTCTCCCGAGATCTTGTTGCAACGCACGTCGAGGGATTTCAGCACCTCGTTGCCGCGCAGCGCCTCGGCGATCGCGGCGGCGCCGGTGGAGCCGATCTCGTTGCCGCGCACATCCAAGGAGGTCAGCACCTCGTTGACGAGAAGAGCGGATGCTAGCGCCTTGACACCCTCGTCGCTGATGTAGTTGACGGAGAGGTCGAGCTTGGTCAGCACCTCGTTGCCGCGCAGCGCCTCGGCGATCGCGGTCGCGCCAGTGGGGCCGATGTAGTTGCCGCCCACGTTCAAGCAGGTCAGCACCCCGTTGAATTTGAGGGTGGAGAACAATGCTCTGCACGGCTCATCCGTGAGACCGACCCTCGAGAGGTCACACTGCGAGAGATTCTTGCACAAGTTGAGACACCGGCCGAGCTGCTCCATGTCCCTCACTGACGGCGCCGAGATGCCCGTGAAATCGAGCATCTCGATGCCGCTCAGCTGCGCTTCGCTCATCTTGCGGTACAGCGTCTTGACCGTCTCCTTGTCCGCGCCGTTGGTGAACTCCTTGCTCTCGATCAGCTCGTCGAAGCCGTCCGGGTCGAGTGGCCAGTTGCGGCTCCCTGCGCCGTCCTTGTCGAGATCGCCGGACCCGAGATCGCGGACGAGCTTCCACTTTGCCTTGTACAGGTAGACCTTCTTGATCTGCTCGGCGGAACGGCGCTCGTACGTCGTCCAGCCCGAGTCATCGTAGCCCAGCTTGCGCTGCGTGCCCTCCGGCAGCTGCGTGAGCAGGTACACCGTCGTGCCCTGGTGCGCATACCAGAGGTCCATCGTGTTGTGCAGCGCGTGGCCGAACGCCTCCTTCTCCTTGAGCGTTCGGCTCTCCTCGTACGCCTTGCCGCCGTAGAAGGCGCGCCTCTCCTTGAGGTCCTCAAGGAAAGCCTCTCGCTCGGGACCCTCGGGCTTGGCCCCGGGCGTCTCGGTCTCTTGGAAGTACTCGGGGTCCTTCTGGTAGAGCGCCGCCCAGTCCCAGAAGACGCCCATCTCGGTGAAGCCCATCTTGGCGTACTTGGGCATCTCGCGCTCGAGGGCGGCGGCCACCGTGGCGAGCTGCTTCCCACTCGGGTCTGGGTGCTGCGGGGTGTCCCAGCAGAAGGAGACGGAGAGGATGGGCAGCACGCCATCCCGGTTGCCGTCGCCGTACAGGCTCTTGAGCTCCTCGACGCCGATGAAGGCCTCGGGCGGCAACTCCTGGCGCCGGCAGAGCACACCACCCTCTTTTGCCAGCTCGACGAGGGACGAAGCCCGGAGCAACTTGACGGTGTCCGTTGCTAGAGCCTCCCAGATGGCGTGCGGCGCCGTGTAGCGGTCGGTAGTTTTTGCCTCCGCTGCCGCCGACTCGGTCATGCTCGTGTTGCTGGCCGTAGAGCTGAGCTCCTCGTGCGGCGACGGTGCTCTGGCGAGCGGCGCCGTGTCGCGGTTGAGGTCGGTAGTCTTCAGCTTGGAGATGCAGCAACCCATTGTCTTCGGCTGCGGCGGGCAGCGCCGGGGGGGCCGTTGTGTACAAACAAGGAGGGATGCCAAGGTGGAGCTCCGGGACCGAGGACTAAGCAAGTGTCTGTGTTTGGGCGTGGTGTCCAGTGTAATGTCCACTAGCTCCGAGTAGAGGGGGCGTCCACTAGCTCCGGTACGCGGGTCCAACCCTCGGAGAACTGTGTTTACTTTAAGGCCCTTGCCCTGCGAACGCGCACCCCCGGGGCTAGGGCTTTCTTGCCCGTAACCCGATGCCAATCATCCGGCCCGCTGGGTGCGCTTCTGAGCTCCCCGGCCCTGGATGTGCGGTTACTGACTGCACTCCAAGTGCTCCAAGTGCCAAAGCGTGAATTCCCCGCCCTTTTACCCCTTTTTCACTTGAGCACTTGAGCACTGGATAGGGTCGATTCCGCATGGTACGGGACCCCTCGATCGTCTCGCCCTCCCTCACTGGTGTGTGGGAATTCGGCGTACTTGCGGCCATGCTATCACGCCTTGCGACATCCTTTCGGCGCTGCTGACCGTGCCATGGCCCATGCTGCTCAACTGACCGCCTGCATAGCTCGCGGCCTTAGTCTTCGGCTGTTCGGCATTCAGTGACGACCTGATCGTACGGCCAGTAGGGAGGTGTCCTTCCAGCGCGTGCACGCTTCTGACGCAATGCGCGTCACAAACTGCCTCGGATTGGCTGCTGGCACTCTCGAGGCTATGCCTACACAGCCTCGCGCGCATGGGCAGTCAAGAGGGACCATGCACCTTCTCAGGACAGCGCCGGTGCCTCTCTCTTGGACCGGCAAACGTGGTGGTCTCGTGTCACCGATGTGGGACCAGTGCGGCATCGCGCCATCGACAGCTCTGAACTGCGCCTCACCACTGACCGGGAAGGCCGCCAAGTGGGTCAGCACAGGTCGCACATTGTGGCAGCAGTCAGCAATGCATGTCTGATAGCTAGAGCAGCACAGCATCAGGGTCGCAGGGTCGGATCGTGTCAAGCCTCTCGCCCGGCCGGCCGCGTGCAGACGTTGGCCTGTCTGCTGTCTGGAGTGATCTGTCGGCGGTCAGTACGACCGATCAGGTTGGAGTTTTCTGATGATTGGAGGGTCTATCTGTATGTACTCCTCGAGATCTCTCCAAATCTGCCCTCTAACCAACCGTAACCATTCGGGAAGTCGGTGCTAGTAGAGAGACTAGTAGAGCCGGAGCCCCGTTTCCGCACTGCTGCACGGCGCACGGTGCACCTCCGGGGGCCCCCCCGCCTCCCCCCAGAGCCTAGAGATGGACGCGAGCCCTTTGACTTCTCCAGAGAGGACGCGAGAGATATGTCATTGGGTCATATGGGGGGTACGGCTTTATTATGTGTGCGTGGAGAAAACGGGCGATGTGATCAGACCGCGGGCCGGGCGGCCCCCCAGCCAACTGCCCAATTTCAATCGGCGCATCGGGCCAATCACAGTCTCACTCTGTCTCTCATTACTCAGTCTCAGACAGCTCTTCATCACGTTCCAGCACACTCATAGTCACACGACGATAAGCCCCGTGAACCACGACCTGCCTAACAAGAGTCCACGAGTGCGCCACACGACCCTAACCTAACGACCTAGATGCCTATCGCGGGAAATCCCCTCAGTGCATGAGGGACTGAGCCGCCCCGTGAGCCGGGGTGATTTGTCTACCTCTCAGATCCTATTCGAGCAAACGCCGGCGGGGCCCGCCCACGGGAGCCCCAGCCACATCCCGCCTGCTGCCCCCCTACGAGCGCCGCTCGAAGAGCTTCTCAATCTCCTCGAGCGACTTGTTCGCCGTCTCGGGCAGCGCGAACCAGAGCCACACCAGGCCGGCCGCCGCAAAGGCGCCGTACATCCAAAAGGTCGCCGCGGCGCCCATCGCCTGCTCGAGCGAGAGGAAGGAGGCGGCGACGACAAAGTTGACCGTCCAGTTGGTCGCGGTCGCGATTCCCACGCAGAGCGAGCGCACCGAGAGCGGGTAGATCTCCGAGTTGACGGTCCACGGGATGGGCGACATGCCTGGCGGTGGTAGGGGATGGGTTCGGGTACAGTGGGGGTAGGGGGTGGGCGACATGCCTGGCGGTGGTAGGGGATGGGTTCGGGTACAGTGGGGGTAGGGGGTGGGCGACATAGCGGGTGAGGGTGGGCGTAGCACGGCACTGAGCGCCGCGTGCACGAGGAGGTGTACGAGTGCAGTGGCCCGACCGAGGCATGCCGCCGAGTGCGTCCCGACTGAGTCGAGGAGGACCCGTGATGCGCATCTAGGGGCGGTGCGCCGAGCCCAAAGGCGAGCAAGTAGAGCACCATCCCCGCGAGGGAGAGCCAGCCCGTAGCGCCGCACACGGCCTCGTTGCCGGAGGGGGGGCGAGGGGGCGGCGCCGGAGGCGGCGCCAGCGGCGGACCGCCTGGCGGAACGGCGGCAGCGGCGGCCTCGGCGGCGGCGGCGGCGAGAGCGTCGGACGGCGGCAACGCGTCGTCGTCTGCGCCGCCCCCGAGCTCGCCGCCGCAATAGGTGTGGTCCACCCAAAAGTTGGCGCCTGGCCGCGGGCGGGGAGGGGGTGGGTGGGTGGGTGGTAGGCCCGGGCGGTGCAGTCGCGAGAGTGGTAGGCCGGTGCGCGGCTACCGCGGGGCTGCGTTGCGTGCGGCGAGGGCGTCTCTGCCCACCCTGCAGGGCGAGGGAGAGGGCGCAGAGGGCGAGCGACGAGAGGACGAGCGGCCTCCGCCCGACGCGGTCGATGAGCAGCATGCCGACGATGCAGCCGACGAGCTGCCCGCACGCGACCTGACGTGGACGCGTCCCGGACGGGTGAGGGGCGTGTGCTGGAAGGGGGGGGGGGAGGGGAGCCCGCCGCCCCCCCGCGCGGCACCGGCGCCGAGAGCCAGATGACGAACGCGCGCTCCTCCTCGCTGACCGCGCCCGAGAAGAAGGCCTGCCTCAGGATCGGCGTCGAGTAGTACATGATCGTGTTGATCCCGACCAGCTGCTGCAGCGCCTGCAGCCCGACACCATCTCTCCCCATCTCTCCCCATCTCTCCCCATCTCTCCCCATCTCTCCCCATCTCTCCCCATATCTCCCCATATGCAGCGCCTGTAGCCCGACGCCCAGCCGCAGCTGCGCCGCCACCGGCCGAACCTGTGCCACCAGCCCGAGCGGCGGGAGCTCCTCGACCCCCCCGCCGCTGGCACCGCCGCCCTCCGCACCGCATCCTCCCGCACCGCCGCCGCCGCCGCCGCCGCCGCCGCCGCCGCCGCCGCCGCCGCCGCCGCCGCCGCCGCCCTCATCGACAGGGCGGATCGGCACCGTCGCCCGGCGCAACGCCGCCTCCGCCTCGCGCTGCAGCGTGATCGCCGCCGCCATCTCTGCGATCTCGCTCTCCACCTGCTCACACCCACCGCTGTGAAGAGACGCCGTCCACACCCTCGCCACCCTCGGCCAGCTCCGCCCTCCCACCTCTGCCTCGCAGGTCGGCGTCCTCTCGCGCGAGCGCAGCATGGCCGCCCTCGCCTCGCCCCTCCGCCCCTGCTCGAGCAGCGGGCTGGGCGGTGAGCTCTGCGGATGCGAGCCTCGGCAACACCTCGGCCGCACCTCGGCCGCACCTCGGCCGCACCTCGGAGCACATCTCGGCACAATCTCGCGTCTCGGCACAATCTCGCGTCTCGGCTGCTCGACGAGCAGCAATCTCGGCGAATCTCGGCGAATCTCGGCTCGTCACGGCTCGTCTCGGCGCCTGCTCGAGCAGCCAGCGCGGCGACTCTGGCATAAAGGCCATCCCCACCAGCTGCACAACCGCGGGCACGGCCGCCAGACCGAGCATGTACCGCCAGCCCGCCTAGGCCAGACCGAGCATGTACCACTCTTCCCGGCGCCGCGGCTGAGGCAACTGCTAACGCCTCCCCTCCTCGTGCGCCGCAACCTACCCCCCCCCCCCCGGCTCACCGGCACGAGGGCGAAGGAGCCGTCGACGAGGCCCGCGAGGACCTACGGTCGGCTCCAGGCAGCTTCCGGGAAGGTTCCAGGAAGCTGCCTCGACGAGGCCGCGCGAGCACCTGCCCGCTAACAATGCACACGTTGTTGAGCGCGACGAGCTTGCCGCGCATCGCGGTCGGCGCAACCTCGGCGATGAACATCGGCACCGTCCCCGAGGAGAGGCCGACGGCCACCTATCCACGCTGCACCGTGTGAGGGAGGCGGCCTCGGCACCGCCCGAAGAGGAGAAGGGGCGGCGGCGGCCCCGACGATGACCCGGCCGAGGACGAGCGTGCCAAACGAGGCGGAGGCGGCCATGAGGAGGGCGCCGAGGGTGAAGGTGGCCGAGCCGAGGAGGATGGTCGGGCGCCGCCCCAGCCGCATATTTATCGGGCCCGAGGCGAGCGAGCCGAGCGCGGCAAAGAGGATGGTCGACGAGACGACCGCCTCCAGCTCGACGGCGCCGAGGCGAAAGCGCTCCTTGAGGAGGAGGGAGGCGCCCGAGATGACGCCGGTGTCGTACCCGAAGAGCAGACCGCCCAGGCACGAGAGGAAGATCAGCCAGTAGAGGAAGCAGCGGCCGCTGCAGAGGCCGCTGGAGAAGCCCAGCAGCGCCTCGCCGTCGTTGAGGCTGCTGACACGGCGAGCTGCTACTTCCGGCTGCCCCGCCTGGCTGACGGAGATGCCGCGTAGGCTGCCGGACACCGCGCGGCGGGCGGGCATCAGCGGCTCGGCCAGGGCCGCCGTGGTCGACGGGCGAACCTTGGCGTACGCGAGGGAGGGTCGTAAAAGAAATTTACGTTCACCCCACACTACGCACGGTCCCTGATCGTCCTTACAAGATCCTGCTCGTGCAGGTGGGGACCCTGTCCTTCTCCCACCCCTTGTTTGGCGTGCCCGTTTTATTTATTTATTTACGCACGGGACTGGCGCGCACTGGCACTAACACAGGTACACCTGGTAAAAGAATTTTACAAAAAAATTATGTAAAAATCGCAAACCCTGTCAGCAGAGTCTCCTACGGGAATGTACGTAAGAGCTACATACAAAAAAAGTGGAACCAGAAGAGGGGGGGGGACGAGTTGGCGGGACGAGTTGGAGCGCGAGGGCGGCGAACGAATTGGCACAGAGCTCAGAGCCGACCAGTCGATTGCCGTGGGCGTGGCCCGTGGTACTGCGTTCGCTGCCGCTGGCTGCTGCCTGCCGCCGGCTGAGGGAGGGTGTAGAGGATGTAGAGTGTAGAGCGCTGTAGAGCTGTAGAGATGTAGAGCACTCTGGAGCGCTGTAGAGCTGTAGAGCTCTGCATCCGGCGCGGGACGATGTGAGTCCGATGTAGAGCGATGTAGTCTAGAGCGCGATTTTGCTGTAGAGTTTGTTGTAGAGGCTCTACAGCCAACCCGCCGGGAAGGCAGTGACTCGAAGAGGTCGAGCCGCGCTAATGGGGTGTCTCCAAGCTTACTGGAGCTCTGATGGACGGCCCTGGACTATCCCTGACACACAGAGAGTCACTCAGGAGTCACTCTGACGGCACACAACACCCTATAACTGCGTCATGACCAGCCTGCCATGCGTCGCCGGTCTGGTCGCCGGTGCCCCATTCGTCGCTGTGCTTCTTTAGCAGGCGGTGGACTGTCGGCTGCGAGGACGGTCGCATTTGCGCGAGGCGAGGCGAGCATTCAGACGCGTTGCATGCGCCATGACTCGCGCCAGCGCGTGCGGGAGCTCCTGGCTGAGCGTTGAGTCCAGGCGAGTTGCGCTGGCCACGATCGCTACGCCGAGCCGAGCTGACGCGCCGAGGCGCCGGCCAGTCGCAGCCGTGAGGCATGCCACAGCAGCAGAGGCAACTGCCACCCATTGGGCGGGCAGACAGAAGGCCAGGGCAGCACTGGCAAGTGCAACGCGCGCCTCATGTCGGAGAGCGACGCACCGTGCCTCGTTCGCCGCTTATGATGTAGCGTTTGTTGTAGAGATTTCACGTTGTAGAGCGCCTCTACATCGCTCTACATCGGACTCACATCGTCCCGCGGCGGATGTAGAGCTCTACAGCTCTACAGCGCTCCAGAGCGCTCTACATCTCTACATCTCTACAGCGCTCTACACTCTTCATCCTCTACACCCTCCCTCAGGCCGCCGGCTGCCGCTGGCTGCCGGGCGCCCGCCGCAAATGGAAGACGAGGACTACGTGGTGGCGTCGGCCGCGGGAGCCGCTGGCACACGAGGTGCTCGCCCCTCCGCCGCGACGCGGTGAGGCACAGAGAATGGAGAGCCGAGCGCATCGGCGCATTGTGCCATCGCGTTGCGGTCAGGGCCTCGGCGACGGAGAGCGGGGCGGAGGAGGATGAGGCCGGTACCATTTTGTGTAGGAACGTAGGGGCGGAAAACTAGAAAGAAAGCAGACGAACCCATGTGCCATGAGGGATGGGGGAGGACAGGCGGGTCCCTACCTGCACGTAGCACGAGCAGGATTTTGGAAGGACGATCAGGGACACAGGGGAACGGGAGTGGGGAGCGCAGGGGCAGAAAGAAAGAAAACAGACAACCCAAGGGAGCGCAGGGGTGGCACACTAATTTCGGAGAATTTCTTTTCCCACCAACCATACATGCCATGTCTGTGTGTATGTCCACCTCGCCCGCCCGCGCCAGCGCCCCGCCCCGCACGCCGCCACCTCCGTCGACGGAGCGCGGCGGCGACGTCCCTGCAAGCATTCGGAAGGCCGCCACGGATGGCCAAGCGGGAGCGGTGCTGTCGTGGCTCGACGGCGGGGGGTGGACGCGACGTTCGAGTACACCTTTGGTGACGGCTCGTATGCGAGCGGCGTGACGCTGCTGATGGTCGCGATGGGCAATGGCCACGCGGAGCTGGCCGATGCGCTTCTGCGGCGCGGTGCGGATGTCTCGTTGCAGAACGGCAACGGTGGCACCGTGCTGATGTTCGCCGCCGCGAACGGCCACGAGAACCTGGTCGAGCTGGCATTGCGGCACGGCGCGGAGATCGACGAGAAGAACAGCGACGGCGACACCGCGCTGATTCTCGCCGCTGCCAACGGCCATCCCGCCGTGATGCTCCGCCTGCTGCGGGCGGGCGCAGACATGAAGCTGCGCGACGTGGACGGTGAGACAGCGCTGCAGATTGCCAAGGAGGGGGGGCACACCGAGTGCGTCGAGGCCGTCAGGACGTATCTCGGGGAGATGACGGCAGCTCGGAGCAAGGCGCCGTCGGCCGAGGCGGGCGGCGCAGGGGCGGGCGGCGCACCCGCAGGCGAGGCGGCGGCGGGCGCCAGTGCTGCTCACTCTGCGTTGAGCGTCGAGGGTGGAGCGGAAGCCGCGCCGAGCAGCGAGACGGTGCCTGAGGAGGTCGTGCTAGCGGCTCGGCGAGGCGACGAGGAGGCGGTGCTGGCGTGGCTCGACGGTGTCGGGTGTGTCGACGCGACGTTCGAGCACACCTTTGGTGACGGCTCTCGTGAGAGCGGAATGACGCTGCTGATGCTCGCAATGCTCAAAGGCCACGCGGAGCTGGCCGAGACGCTTCTGCGGCGCGGTGCGGATGTCTCGTTGGAGGACAGCAACGGTTGCTCCGCGCTGAGCCTCGCCGCCGCGAACGGCCGCGAGAAGCTGGTCGAGCTGGCGTTGCGGCACGGCGCGGAGATCAATCAGAGAAGCACGGTCGGCGTCACTGCGTTGATGGACGCCGCCCAGGAAGGCCACGAGCAGATTGTCGACACGCTGATCCGGCACGGCGCGAAGATCGACCATCAGGACAATGACGGCGATACCGCGCTGATTCAGGCCGCCGCCTTCGGCTACCCCACCGTCGTGCGTCAGCTGCTGCGGGCGGGCGCAGACATGACGCTGTGCGCTAAGAAGGGCAAGACCGCGCTGCAATGTGCCAAGGAGAAGGGCCACGCCGAGTGCGTGCGCGCCCTCGAGGAGCATGCGGCGGCCAAGAAGGCGGCCGAGAAGGCGGCGAAGGAGGCGGCGTGGGCTGCGGGCGCAGCGGAGAGGGAGGCGCAGAGGGCGGCGGCGGAGAAGGAGGCGGCGCGGCACGCCGAGGAGCTGCTGGCGGAGGTTGAGGCGGAGAAGCGCGCCAAGGGCAAGAAGGGCAAGAAGAAGAAGAAGGGCGGAGGGGCGGGTGCGGCTGGGCCGTCGCAGGAGGCGGAGGAGGGTGCCGAGGCGCCGTCGGAGGTAGCCGAGGCTGCGAAGAAGGCCGAGGAGGAGAGAATGATCAGGCTTCTCGAGAAGTGCCACGAGGAGAGGATGCGGTTCGGCATCACGGCGGAGAGCCAGGCAGCGGCGTCGGCAGCGGTGGCCGAGGCGGTGCGCTTGGACGCTGAGGCGGACGAGGCGGAGGAGGAGGCGGAGGCGGACAAGGCGGAGGAGGTGGCTGCCGTGGCGGCGCTGGCGGCTGCCGAGGTGGCGAGGGCGGAGGCCAGGGCGGCGCATGCGGAGGCCAGGGCAGCGTTGGAGGAGGCCGAGGCGGCGTTGGAGGAGGCGGCGGCTGCTGCGGAGGCGAGGGGTGCCGCTGCGGCCGCGTCGATGGATAGGGCGGTTGCAGCCAGGATGGCGGCGGATGCGGCCCAGGAGCGCTCATAGAGCTGCTCCTGCTGAGAGGCCACGGCCGCTGAGACGCAATATTTCTTGTGCCCACGCGCTCAGCGCGGCGCGGGCGGGGGATCATTGTGTGCGGGTTGTGTCTGGAGGGAGGGAGTGGGGTGCCGGAGCAGGTCTGTTCACCGCGACGTGCACTGGGCCTTGCACTTTGAATGCCGTGGGGCTCCTGCCCGTGTCCGGGCGCGGAGATGCGAGGGTTGCCCCCCCTTGCCCCACCACTTTCGACTTTGTGTGTGTGGAGACCTTTTCTTACCCCTTTCCTTACCTGTAAAAGAAAGACATACGCAGGGAGGATGTGAGGAGTGAGGTCTCTCTCTCTACTCCTCAACTCTGTCTCTTGATTTCTACGGGGTGTGGACTGTGGAGTCTGGACGAGACCGTGTATGAGAGTTGACCAGGGGTTGTGCGCCGGGGCCCTCCTGCTCGGCTCCAGCCAGTAGACAAGTCTTGTCATCAACAGAGGAGAAGGATCTGACCTCGGGGCCGATGTGACCAAGCGCTGGTAGCGTGGTTTTACCTCACACCCATGGTCTCACAGTGTGCCGGCAGTCGCCGCGAGCAGTGACCAGTGTCGCTCACACAAGCCGCAGCACAAGTGACTGAGGGCCAGTGAGGGCGAGCCCATCGCTGTCACAGCTGACCTGTGGCAGCCACACAGTAGGGTGTGTCAACTGTGCAGAGTGTGTGAGCAGCAGAGGAGCTGCTCTCCAGGCTTCAGGCGCAAAGAGCTGCATGCCACCGAAGGCGCTGTCGAGGTTCGCCGAGCGCGGCGCAGGTTGGAGGAAGCCGTCACCGACGAGCGCGTTGGACTTTTCACTCCGGATAAAGACGGGGACACAGCGGACGGTGCGGGGTGTGTCCCCGTCATAGCGGCGAGGCGCGGGTCCGTCTGTGGCGAAGTGGGTCCCTGCTGCTCCTAATCTCTTCGTACATCCTCCTGCTGATCTCCGCAACGTCCTGCTCCCTGGCCCTCCCTCCCTCGTCTCGCCCTGCGCGACTGCTCCGCCTCACCGTCGTCTGCCCTGCGTCGTCTGGTGACGGGTCCTCCATAGTCGGTTGAGGTCGCCGCCCTCCTCGTGCCTCTTCCCAACGTTCCCTCGGCGGTCGGTGCCGTCTGGTCCGACTCCGCCGCCCCCGGGTCTGCCCTGCCCTCGTCTGCACTAGCTTCTGCTTCGTCATCACTGGCGCCTCTCCTCTTCTTTCTCCTCTTCTTGTATGCTTTGTACATCGCGTCGATTCCTTTTCGCGTGAGCACCACCCTGAAGCTCGCCCAGCAGCCTTGAAAAAAAACTGCGCTTCTTCCTTAAAATCCTAGTGTAGTGCGGCGGCGTGCCGTGTGCGTCTTGCACTTGGCACTTGCAGCGCAGCAGGGCCGCAAACACGGAGGCCCACAAAGCACAATGTGCTCAATGGTTGATGCGCGGTCTCGACACTCGCCACCGCCAGAGCTGCAGCTCGCAGCTGACACGAACTGTGATAAAGCTTAAAGGATTAATTTGCCGTAAGTTAGCGTAAGGACGAGCTCGTTCTTCTTCTTCTTGGTGTCTGTGGTGAGAAAATTCTTTGGCCTCATGACTCACAGCTCACACGCGGACGTGCTCTTCAATCCACCGGCTGCGCTAGAATCGCCACCGCCGAGTGCGAAAAGATACCGCCATTCCCGTACACGAGCGCCCGCCGCACGTCCCCCACCTGCCTTTTGGCACTTGGCGCAGCACCTGCAAAAGAAATCCATAAGCGGCGGGGATAGCCGTTGAGGAGAAAGGGCGCAATATCTTTCTTGAAAGCCCCGACCGAATCGCGCGAGGGAGGGTCGTAAAAGAAATTTATAGCCTTGTGCTGGCCGTTTTCTTTCTTTATTTACTAGGCACGGGACTGGCGCGCACTGGCACTAACACAGGTACACCTGGTAAAGAATTTTACAAAAAAAGTGCAGAAGAGGGGGGGGGGACGAGTTGGCGGGACGAGTTGGAGCGCGAGGCGAGGGGCGGCGAATTGGCACAGAGCTCAGAGCCGACCAGTCGATTGCCGTGGGCGTGGCCCGTGGTACTGCGTTCGCTGCCGCTGGCTGCTGCCTGCCGCCGGGCTGCCGCTGGCTGCCGGGCGCCCGCCGCAAATGGAAGACGAGGACTACGTGGTGGCGTCGGCCGCGGGAGCCGCTGGCACACGTCACACGAACGAGGTGCTCGCCCCTCCGCCACGACGCGGTGAGGCACAGAGAAAGAATGGAGAGCCGAGCGCATCGGCGCATTGTGCCATCGCGTTGCGGTCAGGGCCTCGGCGACGGAGAGCGGGGCGGAGGAGGATGAGGCCGGTACCATTTTGTGTAGGAACGTAGGGGCGGAAAACTAACTAACTAGAAAGAAAGCAGACGGACCCATGAGGGATGGGGCGGCGAGAGGAGTAAAAGAATTTCGCCTGGACAACACTCGGCACGGGAGGAGGAGGAGGGATAACAGAGGTAACGAGGGGACAGGCCAACAGCCAGTGGGACGAACGAGGGACGCGACGGCGGCCCAAGCGGGAGGGAGCGGAGACAGTCGGCAGCGAGCGAAGTGGGTGAGACTGATGATGCTCCTTCGACTTAGGGAGCGGTTCAGCTGCTGGGCGGGCTTCAGGCTGGTGCTCACGCGAAAAGGAATCGACGCGATGTACAAAGCATACAACAAGAGGAGAAAGAAGAGGACGGACATCAGTGATGACGAAACAGAAGCTAGCGCAGACGAGGGCAGGGCAGACCCGGGGACTGGGGAGCCGGAGCAGACGGCATCGGCCGCCGAGGGAACGTTGGGAAGAGGCACGAGGAGGGCGGCGACCTCAACCGACTATGGAGGACCCGTCACCAGACGACGCAGGGCGGACGACGGGGAGGCGGAGCAGACGCGCAGGGCGAGACGAGGGAGGGAGCAGGATGTTGCGGAGATCAGCAGGAGGATGTACGACGAGATTAGGAGCAGCAGGGACCCGAGGGACCATGTGGAAGACGGCTAGTGCTAGTCCCCCATCGGGAGGACGACCCCGGCTAGTCGCCGACCACACCCACAAAGAACCCTGCACAAAGACCGCAGGGCGGGGACCTGTTCCTTTTTACCCATCTCCTAGTAGAGGTGTCCGTTTTATTTTTCGGCACGGGAGTATTGGAATAATACGTCCTATCATTCACAGCTGCAAGCCCGCCTGAGTCGGAAAGCAGTTTTTGCTATCATTCACAACCGCCTGAGTTCGGGCAAACCCCGGAAAGTGGGTCAAAAATGACCACCGACACGTGTAGGCGCGTATCTTAGCTAAGGCTCGCGCCCTGACGTGTAAGTGCTCATGTGCACCGAGCCCATATACGCACCTGCATGTGTGGACGCGAGTATTAACTAAGATGAGCGCCCACGCATGAGGATGCGCGTCTGCGTCCAGGTAGCCCAGATACGCGTCTTCGTGTCTGAGCGCTTATCTTGAGTAAGGCTCGCGCCTACACGTGTCGGTGGTCATTTTTGACCCACTTTCCGGGGTTTGCCCTGAGTTCGTGGGGCCGAGCTTTGCTTTGACATCGAGCAGGCTCTGCCCTGGCCCTCGCCCCTGCCCCTCCGCTGGCCAGCGAGAGCGACTCCCGCTCCCATCCCACTCACACGTGCGTCGACGCTGCTTCGTGGGCGCCTGCGCCCCCTCCACTCGTAGACCACACGCCTCTCCCACCGACGCACAAACGCAAGCAAGCAGCGCCCCAACACATGCCCCGCCACTGTCACACACCATCCCCGGCGCAAATTTGGGGCGGCGTCTTCGGCGGCGCGCGCAATGCTTCGGTCTTCCTGGCAGCCGGGACGGCGCTCATCTTCCCACTACGAGAGATTCGCTCTTCTGTCGACGGCCGCCGCTCCCTCCTCACCGCCACCGCTGCAGCCGCCCGGACGCCGCCCGCGCCCCCGCGCCGCCGCTCGTACCGCGGCCTCCGCAGCCTTTACCGCCGCCGCCCTCCGCCGCCCTCCGCAACCCTCCGCCGCCGCCGCCTTCTTCTAGGGACCGCCGCCTCCGCCTGTCCGCCTCCTCTGCCAAACCGCCTCCTCCTCTGCCGTCATTTTCGTTTATCAGCCCCTTCGTCGCCGAGCGTCCTACCGCCCCCTGCTGCCGCGTGTCCATGCCCTCTCATTCCAGACCCCGTACATCTCCACAATGCGCATATAGCTGTTTGTGCATTCCATCATGCAGCGGCCGTGCTGACGCTCACCATGGTCGTCGCAGGTTCATCGATGACGCTCTACATACGCTGGTTTGCTTTGGCGGCCCTCGCGGCCGGGTCGCTCTCTGCGTCGGTGTGCGCGCCCACGCCAGACCCCTCGTGTCGGAATCGCGCATCGCCCAGCGCTCCTCACGCCCCTCGTCAGGTGCAGGACCAAGACGGGGTCGGGGCGACCGATCGCACTCCCATGTTTTCTCCGACCAACCTCATGTTTTCGGGTTTGCCCCCGCCGGACCCCGACCCGCCCAACCCGCCCAAACCATGGGAGTGCCCCGTGCACAAGTTCCCAGAATACGACTTCAAGAAATGCTCCTGCCCTCCTTGCAAGAAAAACGCTGACGGTCGCTGGCACTCGACTGGGAACCCCAGCGGCACCGCCGCCGACCTGCCGTTCCCCCGGGTGCGGAGGGAGTGGCGCGAGCACACCGAGGATGAGATCGACAGGTACGCGTGCGCTCTCAACGTCATGAGCACCATCTCGACCGAGGCTGGACGAAAGTGCTACGGCCGCACGTACGTCTACTTTCCCGACATTGTCATGAAGCACGCGTGCGTTGCATCGGACCCGCGCGGCGACCAGGGCCACCGCGGGCCAGAGTTCATGCTGTTCCACAAGTCGACGTTGCTGACCTACGAGGGGTCGATCCTCGCCATCGACCCGAAAATCGGCGCGATCCCCTGGTGGAACTTGCCGCTGGACAGCGCGCCTGTCCTCAACGTCGACGGGACTGTGAACGTCTCGGCGGGGAAG